AAATCGTCGTTACTGCATGCAATCCAGGCCATTAGTTCACTTGATAAAAAAATCTGTGCTCCTGTGCCCCGTCGGCGGCAAAAAACAGAATGTTTGTAGGCCTTTCAGGCCTATAATCACTTAAAGAAACCAATACGAAGTTCGCGTGGCCACAGTATGAGCGATCGTCCCCTGTGTTGAGAGAATCTCTCTCTCTATCGGTGCCCGCGTCCTCTCCAAGGAGACGTGCGCTTCCAGCGTCTCGTTCGATGCAATATCCACAAAAGCTTTACCTTTCAGTTCTTCCCGTTGCCCATTTGATCCTCTCAGTTTGGATGTTCTGTCATCACCTCAGCTCAACCTTGACAAGACTGAACCTGCCTTTTCCTTCCGGAAAAGATTGCTCCCACTCTTGACCTAACAATCAACATCGGCCCCCGGGGGGGCCCCGTCGATCGTTTCCGGCGACTCCAGACTGCAAGCGAATCTTGGGTGTGGAACCCTAGAGTAACAAACTGTCCTCACTGAACACGTGCTACAACCCGCTGCGCAGATACACGCCTTTACAACATCAGGCAGGATACGTCCCCATCTGACCAGAAGCCACGCAGGTTCTGGCTCCAGGTCTCGTCATCTCACGCCTAGACTACTGGCCAACTCCCCTCCTGGCCTGGTCTGCCTGCATGCCATCCGACCTCTGCCAGCCTCATCCAGATGCAGCGGCTCGTCTGGTCTTCAACCCTTCCTAATTCTCCCGACACCACCCCAGCTCCTCGCGGCTTCCTTCACTGGCCTTCCAGTAACTGCTAGAATCCACTTCAAGACACTGGTACTTGCGTACCATGCAGTGAATGGATCTGGCCCTTCCTAAATCCAGGACATGGTTAAACTGTACACCCCAGCACGTGCACTCCGCTCTGCATCAGCCAAACGGCTCGCTGCACCCGCACTGCGAGGGGGACCCAAGTTCCCATCAGCAAAAACACGTGGGTTTGCTATCCTGGCTCCAAAATGGTGGAATGAGCTCCCCATTGAACATCAGGACAGCAGAAAGCTTACACATCTTCCGGCGCAGACTGAAAACTCATCTCTTTAGACTCCACTTCGAGCGATAGAATTACTAACAAAGCACTTATATACTAATAAAGGACTGGCTTATCTAAAGCCAGTTGAGTAGCACTTTGTAGAAACTTGATGTACTTATATGATTCTGTTTTCTTCAGGTTTGTATCTTGTTGGTCGAACGCACTTATTGTAAGTCGCTTTGGATAAAAGCCTCAGCTAAATGTAATGTAATGTAACATAGATATACATGCTGAGAAAACCTAACTGAATACCCGCATTCACCACACACACGCTTCCTCCTCCCGTGAGAACCACACCTGGCATCCCGGTGACGCGCCCACTAAAAAGCCTCTGGGCGCGCCGCGACAGGTGAATATGCAAATGAGGCTTGCAGAACCACACCCTCAAACCTTACATAAAAGTGGACATTTACCAACTGTAGTTGCGAGGATAATACACATGTATCATAGATTTCATTTCATTTTCAATCTAAACCACATGCCTTAACCTTTTCCCCTGCCACTACAGTTTATAAGAAACACTTTGATCAATCTGCGACTGTCACACCGCTTTGGTTTTAGTTCTTCTTCTTCTTCTGATCTTCTACTTGTTTTCTCTTCACAGGCTGTGTCAGCCATATCTGAGATCCCCAGAGATATCCCCATCCACCTGGAGCTGGCCAGCATGACGGACAAAGACTACATGAACAGCATCATGCAGGAGGTACATGTCCGGAAACTGTCATGGTGCATGTAGTGAACTTCCCCGAGAGGATTAGTGGGTTCATAATCCAAGTTCTGTATTTCTTTCACAGACATAACATAAATAGGACATACATGGAGATGCTTACATAACTGCACCTGTTACACATCAGGGTTAATCATTCATGCCGTCCCTGGACACCAAAAGGACATACCATTTCTTGATGCTATCGATGTTCATATTGTGCAACCATTATCAACATATTACATTATCACTCCCCCTCATCAACAAAATGATCACACAATACCTGAACCATTATGATAGTTAAAAAGATCTGTATTTTTAATTCATGTTTTTCTGTGTTTCCCGTTAGCAGGTTATGCCCATTGTCAGCTCCATCGGGCTGAACGAGCAGGAGCTGCTCTTCCTCTCTCAGGCTGGAGAGGGGCCTCATGCTGAGATGGTAGCCTGGCAAGGGATCCCAGACGTGGGGCGGGTCAGCGACATCCTGCTGTGGATCCTGGAGCAGCACGGCCGCATCGAGCCATCCTCCGAGGCGGACCTGACTCGCATTCACTTCCACACGCTGGCCTACCACATCCTGGCCACGGTGGACGGGTACTGGGGGAACCAGGCGTCCGCGGTGATGGCCGGAGCGCGTGTCGCCAGCACTCAGGCGTGTGGCCTCCAGGCTGTGGACCCCAGCAAGGTGGAGCTGAAAGCCCCGCTGGAGTTTCACAGCTCACACGCTGAGCCCCGAGAGCAGCTGTCCCTGATCCCAGAGCAGCCGGTCACCGTGTGGCGGAGAGGAAACGTCACCTTCCACCTGACGGCCGTGCTGGTGTGCCGACAGCCTCTGAGGACAGTCGGGCTCGGGGACGCCATCTCAGCAGAGGGACTCGTTTACTCCGAGTTCGAGACCCAGCAGCCCTTCTGAGGTTTGCTTCAATCTGACACTCCTTGAAGTCTGAGATTGTTAGGTCGGAGTTTCTAAGGTTGTTCAGGCTTCTGTTTCCTGAACCAGTGTCTTCCTCTCTGGAGCTGCACTGAGTTTAAGGATGTGATCGATGGTGATAGATTTAAATCCTGCCTGATGACTCGTCCAGCCAGCTCTCCTCTGTTCCTCCTCCTCCTCCTCCACTCCTCCTGCAAACACAGAAAGTGAGGCGGCGCTTCACAGAAGTGTCTGGGCTGCGAGGCGACCTGACTCTATGCATCGGCCGCGACTCAAAGCCATGTTCACAAACTCCAAAGAGTTCTGTTAGCTCACCTAATTTACTCTGACCTGCATATCTTAGGTATGCTGTGCCTTTAGACAAATATGAGTTTAAGAAGTTATAATAATACCATATTCATATTTCAGAGCCACTTCAAACTTAGCATCACATCAGCTGCCCTTCTGACACACACATATAAATAATTCTGTTTGACTGGAAACTGATGAGCGTCTTACTATATCGTAGAATCTAGGTGGAAATCTTGATGTTCTGTGTTTCTTCAACTCAATGGGTGACTTACTTGCGTGTAATTAATGTTTAGACTGTTAAGACATACTTGACCTTTTTGTTATTTGTCACTAAAAAGATAAATACTAGTCTTCTCAGTTGTTTTAAGATGTTAAAGTTTCTCAACTCTGCATAGTAACAGTTATTATAATCTCTGGTGCTTTCACACTTCTGATGCATTGTCCATATATGATCAAATAATGAGATTCTACACTATAAAATGCAAGTGTGGTTTTGAAGGGGATCCTTCTTTATGCAGTAAAGCTCAGTTTACAATGAGATGCACCGGATGATTCATTGAAAAGGTTCTGATGGCGATTAAACACAGATAATGGTGAAATTAAATTCCAAAATGAGCTGTGCACCATTATGTTATCCTGGTTACTGTACTTCTTTGTATATTTGTTTACTGTTTTTTTTTGTACAGGGTCATTCTGTCAGTTGTTACCTTCTCTCACTTGTAAAATGTGACTGTAACACGATTGGCTGGAAAATCTTACTGTTACATAAAGCAAGAAGAGCTTCTGGCCTATCGGTACATTATGCTGTTTCATGGGTTGTTTGGTTGTTTTTTTTAGCTTACTTGGGAACGGCTGCTTCATGTTAGTATACATTGCATAGCCGTAAGAACAATGTATTTGTATACCTCACATGGCCGTTGAAGGCATGCAATAATGGAGTCTTAATGCAAACGTACAGCAACAAGAAGAAGGATGGCTTTTTGTTGAACAGAGTTGATTATTTGCACTAGTACGAAGGGGCAGGAGTGCCTGCAGAGGTGAATGTAACCTGTACTCTGAACCCCACCCCCTTTAGTTTTAGCAAGTACAATCTTTTCATCTTAACTCATTTCATAATTTGTGTCTCATGTTTTAACAATTGTAACTGTCATCATGTTTCATTTTCATGTGGTTTGTCATTAAAATATATATGGAGAGTAATGGCCTCTTTGTGGTGATGTAGGTTACTGTGCAAGTCAATGCCAAGATGAACTTCACATTAGTGCTTATTATTGGTTAAAGTCTTACATGGATGTCATGCAAGTTCAATAGTTTTGTAAATACATAAAAACATATACAAAAAAGATTCAAATGTGCTAATCTGGAAATGTGGTGAGACTGGATTCTGTATGGACACTAGAGGGTTTTATTGTGCATATTGTTTAATAAAGTTAACTTAAGGTGACAGGGTACATACAATGAAAGTAATATTGTTCTGTTGGGCCAGCTGCTCCTTGTTTTTCCACCAGGGCCTCAACTAGGGTTATCATGTCCCTGAGATTACCACCTAACTCTAACCCTAACCCCATAACAGGCTCGTTTTAATCAAACATCTTTAAAATGTTCATCGCTAAGAAATGTTTCATAATTTCTTTTTGACAGAAAGATCCATTCAAATGGCATGTACTTACCAATGCAAAATAAATAAATGCATATGAAAAGCATAATGCATACACTGTATTATAAAAACGTGTATACATCAATGTTAAACAACAAAAGTGAACCCGATTTGATTGAGTTTATGTGAGTATATTAAAGAACATAGTCAAATTCTTAAACCTTTAAATACAAAAAAAGTGATAAAACAATTTGTATGATTACAGAAGAATACAATTGATCTTGTTTTATTTGGTATTATTGTAGTGAATCACTTAGCTTTACATATCATTACAATTCAGTTATCAGGATTCCTTTATTTGTCCCGAAGTGGGGACATTTAGGTATTATTTCAGCATAAAAATAGTGCAGATAAAGTAAAAAGAATAGACTTACATATTAAATTAAAAAGTAGGCACATATTATTAATAATAAAAAACACAATAGGTCAAAACAAATAACAGATAAGTACACCATGATAACAAAAAACTAAGTAGCAGTATATATTTGTTTTAAGTGACCGTGCACAAATATAGAAGTAGCCTTTAATATTACAGATTTTAGATGGATTGAAAGAAAAATAAAGTGTGTACTTTACAAAGTTTTATATTTTATATTTGAATTCAATGTTGAGGAATGCTGGGAAATATGTCAGAGCGCTGTAACGCGTATGCATCTGATTGGCTCAAACGCCAAATACATGAACCAATCAGAGGCCTGTGCGTCGGCTCGCTGTGTCTGAAGTCCCGCCCCCGCTGCGGTCGTGGAGGAAGCGCAGCCGGAGCAGCAGCGGCCGTCCGGCAGAGTCTCCACCCCGGATACCGCTCTCCTTACCCCGACTCATATAAAGGTAGCAAGACTTACAGGGCCGTCCTCGGGCTGCTTTTTTTCTCGTTGATGGTTAGACTCTGCGAGAGAAGGATGAAGTTCCTTGTGGCCATTACGATCATTGTGGGATCCCTGATTTTCCTCGCTTTCCCCAATGGCTCATCTGCGGACGAGAAGAAGAAAGGCCCCAAAGTAACGGCGAAGGTAGGTGTTAGCATGTTAGCCCGCTAGCTCGACTGCTAGCTTGATAATGTAGAGAAATCAAAGCTGTTCCTCATTGGCAACCATTTCATGCTAACAGCTAGCTGCATTCTGTTAAGCCACGTCACAGAAAAGTTAGCCTCCAACGGCTCCTCCTTGTCTTGTGTAGCTAACAGGCGGCTAATATGAGGCTAATTGTAATGCAAAACCTAATTTACAATCGTATACAATGGCATAAAACCAGGTTAGCATACAGCAAAAGAGTGGAAAAGGACATTCCTTTAATCCTGGCTAATCTAAATGGAGCTAGCCGTCGTAGCTAGCATCTTGGCCTAACTGTTGGTTTTCCAAATGCACCAATATTAATGTCCTACATCCATTTAGGCAGTTACCGTTTCAGCCTGTACCTATTGATTATTCCCCTGTAGCTAGCCCTCTGTGTCTCAGAGAGATGTTATTGTGTCTGGGTTCAGCAGGTTTGTCCACGTCTGCAGTTATAAGGAAGCTTTGCAATGTGCACACTATTTTGTTTGACATTTACATCAGTGCATCAAACAATGACTCGTATTCACATGCAAGCTACTATTGTGGAGAAAGACTGGCAAGCCTAAATTACATTTTCTTTATTAATGCATACCTCTTAAAAGCGGCCTTGCTTGTTTTCTGAACTGCAGGTGAAGAGTTAGTGAGTTAGAATACAACTAATTATTACTTCTGCAAGATAAAGTAGGTTTTTCTGAAACTTTAATTCAAAAGTAGTATTTTTTTTTGCAAGTTCTTTTATGATGGGGAAAACGGAACTGAAGTGAAAAACACAATCGTTTCGTTGATCTTATGTCACATTATAACCGTGCCATATCCCGGAGAAACTTGCTTTAAATAATGAATATCTCTTTAAAACACTTTTGGCTGCAGGCAGATGCCTCAACAAAGGAAAAGTAGATAACAGTGGCCATGAATAGAATCACATGGAGTCAATCTCATTAACATGTGACCATGGGGTGTAAAATAACTTTATGTTTTGACTATGTTTCTAGGTGTTCTTTGACATGAAAGTTGGAGATGAAGAAGTTGGAAGAATTGTCATTGGAGTTTTTGGGAAAACTGTTCCCAAAACAGCAGACAACTTCATCGCTTTGGCCACAGGAGAGGTGAGAGCATCTAAGTTTATGTGTTCCCAAAGTGTGACACTCTTGGACTCCCCAGCTTCACTACTGACTGCAAATTAAATGGGGGAACAATTCAAGCAATCATCCTTCTTCTTTTTACACAGTAGTGTGACACAGAAAGGGTCTTGGGGTATAATTTGCAATGTTTACTTGTTTCCCTCTAAGTCAACATCCTTCTTTACTTTCCCAAACCGTGAACCCCCATGTCCTGGAGAAACACTTTGAACAAATAATTTCACTCATTCATGTCAAATACTGGCAGCAGCAGGTAGCCCTTTTTGTAAGTTTTGTTTAACTTAACATTGTGTTTGTTCTAATTAAACAGAAAGGATTCGGTTACAAAGGCAGCAAATTCCATCGAGTCATCAAGGAGTTTATGATCCAGGGTGGAGACTTCACCAAAGGAGACGGCACTGGAGGTAAGATGGCCACCGACACTGGCATTTAGGTCAGGATTTAGATGGTGTCTCTACAAGATCCCACTCGTCAAATATGCTGTCCTGGACATTTAGGACTCGAGGCATTTTACACATTTTTCTTGGTGTCTCATGACCTTTTAGAAAAAAGACATTCCACGCGGCAAACTTTCTCGCAACTTTTTTGTTTCGATGAAATCCTGAGTTTTATTCTTTTACTAATTGGGAAATGCATGGTATTATTTAAAACTTAAAAAGCTCATCGTTGTGCCAAGAGGTATTTCACAATTAGTTGTTGCCCTTTTGTGACCACATGTGTCGGGGTTATTTGACATTTTGGCAGATGCTCTTATTCAGAATGGCCCAGTGTTGTGAGTAATAAAATGTCATCAGATAAAGTAGAGATAAACATTTGACAGCAATCCAAATGACATGTGAATATGTGTACAGAGAGGGAATGTTTGCAGAACGACAAGATGCTAAACATGTTTTGTTTTTTTCTTTAATTCTAGGCAAGAGCATCTATGGGGACCGTTTCCCCGATGAGAACTTCAAGCTGAAGCACTACGCCGCCGGCTGGCTCAGCATGGCCAACGCTGGCAAAGACACTAACGGCTCTCAGTTCTTCATCACCACCATCATGACGCCGTGGCTGGACGGCAAACACGTCGTCTTTGGAAAAATCCTGGAGGGCATGGTGAGTCAGTGGAGAAAACAAGCAGTCAGTTGTTGAGTAAACTTTGAAAGGTTGCAGAAAGTTTCCATCAACTGGTTTGGAGCCAATCAACTTGTATTAAGCTTAGAAGGCTTGCATGGCTGTAGTTCAAGAGGTTTGCTTTAGTTGGCTAACCCATTTACAAGAGAGGAATTTTGAAGGTAACATTTGTAATCATTGCTGTGGGAGTGAAGGGATTCTGTAAACTTTATATTTTGCAGTTGCACTTGGAACACTTTAAATAGGGATGTTTGTGACACTACCTTGAAAGCACTTTGAGTTTTATCTTAACATCCGATAAACCCTGGACCGCTTTTATAATTGCATATTCATCATGCAGTAGCAGAAGGTGCAAAGGGAAACAGAATTGCATCGGAATGATCGTGTCATCTAAATCGGAGACTGTACTCTGCTTCAATTTGGTCGTGAACATTCCCAGATGTCAGGGTTTACTGTTCCTGTTTGTCATTTGTTTATTTTTAACAAAATAACTGCACAATCTGTCTGGAAAATCTCCAGTGTCTCCTCCTATACTCAAAGGCTTTGATATACCTGTGGCTCAGACTTGAATGGAGAACATAAATGTCTTGTAAATATTCAAACTGAAGGGGAAATGCAAGCAGGAATGTAAAGTTTGCGTCACATGTGATATTTTTTTTTTAATTAAATATCTCAATATAGATATCAGAAAGCCAACTGGTGAAAAGCAACAACGTTAATTTACTAAAATAATATATCTTTGAGGTACTTGTGCTGTATTTAAATTTAAACTGTGCAAATTAACATAAACACCTGATGATTGCACAGTAAATATAACAACATGTAACAGATTTAAATTGCCCCCATAGTAAAACAAAGTTAAATAAGATCCATCATGCTACAAGATACTAATTATGCTTGTGCACAAATGCTGCAGTAAT